TGAAGTTCTGCCAATGTCCTTTTATTATTATTATTATTATTATTATTATTATTATATACAACATTCTGCCTCCACGTATGCTTGCATGCCAGAAGAGGGCACCAGATCTCATTGCGGATGGTTGTGAGCCACCATGTCGTTGCTGGGTATTGAACTCAAGACCTCTGGAAAAGCAGCCAGTGCTCTTAACCTCTGAGCCATCTCTCCAGCCCTCTGGCTATGTTCTTATTGGTAGATTGTTAAACTAGAAGTGTCTGCATGTGCTCACACCCTGAAAGCACTCAGGCAGGTCTCTCAGCTCATTTCAAAGGTCCACATTCCCTGCTCACTACTTTCCAGTCATCCATCCATCCTGTATTCCTTCCTCCATCCTAACTACTTACCCTCCCAGTCAACTACTTATCATTACTTAGCTACCCATCATCCATCTGTTTACCCACTAATACTTTCACTGGTCACTTATTAACTCTCTTTCCATCTATCCATTTTAGGTATAGGATGAGAAGCACAAATAACAGTGTATGTGTGTGTGTGTTCCAGTGTGCTTCCATTTGGAGGCCAGAGGATAGTTTTGAGTGTATTCCTCAGAAACGGCCTTTTTTTTTTTTTTTTTTTTTTTTTTTTTTTTTTCCCCCCTTACCCCCTACGATAAGGCCTTTCATTGGCCTGGAACTCACCAAGTAAGCCATACTGGCTAGCCAGTAAAATCTAGGAACTCATCTGTCTCTTGCTTCCAAGTACTAGAATTAAAACCAGACATCACCATGTCCAGTTTTGTTTTGTTTTGGTGTGGTGTGGTTTTTCAAGACAGAATTTATCTGTGTAGTCCTGGCTGCCCTATAACTAGCTCTGTAGACCAGGCTGGCCTTGAACTCTGAGATCTAGCTGACTCTACCTCTTGAGTGCTGGAATTAAATGTCTGCACCATTGCACCCAGCTTCTTTTGTTGTTTAACATGAGTTCTGTGGTTTGAAGTCAGTCCTCAGATGAGCAGATGTGTTGTGTCCATCTGCCAGCTGTCTATGCTTCCAGCTCTCCATGTCCCCACACAGTTCTGCAAGGGCTGAAGGGATTCACGAGAATGTCAAGAGCAAAACTGTGGCCATGAGAGACAGCGAGTGACAGACATTTTTTGAGAGGTGTGTTGACATATTTCCACACAGCAAAAGCCCTTCACACTATAGGGCACACATACCCACACACAGGCTATAGCAGAGTCAGGTGATGGAAATCCAGAAGAGAGAGGGGAGAGAGGTCTTGGGGAGGGGTATTGACATGTTCAGAGGGTGTGGCTCAGCAGCAGAAGCAGGAAAGAGGCTCTGGGTCAGTGATTTTGTAAGCTTTGGCTCCTGGGATCTGTCAGCACAGTGTCTCCATTTCAATGGACAACACCCTGTGAGGTTCTCCAGGGTGTCCAAAGCAGACAGACACTAAGTGGCTAAAATTTTGCTTGTTTGAGCTATTTTCCAAAATAAATGGGATGTGAACTAACATGCCTCAGTCTGCAGTGAAGAAATAAATAACCCAGGGATTCATATCCGGGGCACAGTGTTGACTCATCTTATTAGCACACATGAGGACACAACAGCCTGCTGGGTCTCTGTCCTTCCCACCTCCCAGACACAGGCCCACACTCTGGCTGAGATGGTGTGTCATACACAGAAACACCACTGTGGGACAATAACAGCATGCTTCAGAGTAAGATACATTTTCACTGCTGAGCTCAAACCGTAGTTCCATACCTGAGTGGTATTTCCCTCATTTTGTGTTGCCAAGTTTCCTGAGAAGTCCTTAAGCAGAAGTAGCAGCAGATATAATGTCCACTTCATAGCTTATCAAATTAACAGTCACCCCATAGCTTGGTAACACAGAGTCTCTCTCTCTCTCTCTCTCTCTCTCTCTCTCTCTCTCTCTTCCAGATGAGGGCTTCCCTCCTGACTTTTTTCCGAAAAGGAAAGTCTTTTCACAGAAAATCTCTTGTGATACTTAAAAATGTTGCTGTTTATGCATGGCGTAAATTCCTCACCCTTCTGGGGCTGGAGACGACAACTCTGGAGGAGACTGGACTGGCTACGGACCACGTAAGCTGTGGGACCTTGGAGCAGTAGCACACTCGGGTTGAGGACCCTACCATGCAGGCTTGCTTTCTGCAATGAGAGCACCATGGTGATTCTGTGCCAGCTATTACTGCAAAGGCTCAAAATTAGTTCTCAACCTAGTGGATCTTACAGAATCTTCCCTTAAAACACTCAAGAACTCAGTGTTAGCAGTCTCCATCACTGCTCAATACATCCTTATAATCACCCTAAGGTAGAGTCTCCAGTTTTTACTTGAGTTACTCACTTGCATTTGGCATTTGCTATCAGACCAAGCTACTACCAAAACCATGGAGCCCTTGGCACTTTGGGTTGGGGACTCCAGACACTAATGCAAACAAGTCAAACCTAGGTATTTTCACAGTGCATTCTCAGCCATCATCCATGACTGCTGTTTATACAGCATTTGGTGCAGTCCTGAAGCCTGTGAGAAGCGTCGTCGCACTGTGTGTTTGGATAGGGCTTACTGCCTGTCATGTGCCCATTATTGCCTTCACATTCATTCACGGGTTCTTTGTCAAGACATCATTAGCTGTAATAGTTATGAATGAGGCAGTATGTACACACCACAAACGAAGAAACCAATACATGCAGAAAGAAACCAGTCCAGCATCCAGGGCTTCTTACTTCTGGGTCCAAGATATTTTATATCATAGTGAAAACTTTCTAAAGTTGGCATCACTAAATAATTCAGATAACGGGGCAAAAGGAAAATATCACATTCCTGTATGCATTTACTAATCTAGTTTTCTTCCCTTCAGAGTTACTACCTGGATGAATTTTCAAGTCTATTGGATGAACTTCTGGTGAAGATCGATGGTTTGTCTGACAACCTAGAACTTTCTATCCTAGAAGAGCAATGGAGGAGGACAGTGGAGGCAAGGGCAGTGGATAGTCCTTTAGTTTGCCTTTCAGGGTGCCAAGCTACTGGGGTAAGACTGTGCAAATTATTTTTGTTAATTTTCTATGCAGCAATTTTTATATTCTGAAGTTGGTTTGAAATAGTGAGATGGATTTGTATAAAAACCCTCTAAGAACAGTATTAGTGGGAAGATGTGCTCTGGCCAGACTTGCTTAAATCATTTAAAATGTATGGCAAGACTTCAAGTTTCCAGTGGTGCCATGGATATCTCTCTGCCCCATCAGTTCCCATTCTAACTGTAATCAATAAGGAGCCTGAGAAGCAGAAATGGAAAGCGCATCTCCCAGAGATGAGGGATATCTGTTAGCACAATGTGACAGGCAATGCAAAGCTGCGTGCTGAGTGCACTGAGGATTACAACAGAGGGAAAGATGTGCCTATGGATGCTGCCATAGGTGAGAGCATGCACAGGACTCCAGATGAGCACATGCAGAGGGGCCAACCAAAGGCGAGGGCCAAGGAGCATACATCTAAAAGCAATTGCCACAAAAGGGTGACACTGGCAAGCAAGGCATTCTGTCATGAAAAGTAACTCAGTGAAGAAAATCTTTATTTGAAAGTGGAGTACGAAACTAAGAAGAAAGCACAAATATGAAATAACAAAAGAACAAGTAGTGATGGGCAGGGGTGGCTCATGCCTTTAATCCCAGCACATGGGAGGAAGAAGCAGTTGGATCTCAATGAGTTCAAGGCCTGCCTGGTCTAAAAGCGAGTTTCAGGACAATAAGGGCTACACAGAGAAACCCTGTCTTGAAAAACAAAACAAACAAACAAATAGATAAATAAAGTTGACAAGGAAGAAGAAAGGAGTTTCTCTATATCCATGGATATGGAATGGAGAAATGCATGTCTATACACAGTGAAGGGAAGAATAAGAATAGATTTGCAAGAAAATGAGCAAAGGACCAGGGTCTGAGAAAACTCAGCAAAAGTAATATTTTTTAAAAAGTTAAAATTTATTTTAGGAATAATAATGGACAGAGAAATCTGAAAAAGAGAGCTGTGTATAAGTCAGAGAGAAGGTAAAGATTGAGGTCTATACAGATATTTTTCCACTGACAATGGGGTTACATACTTAAAAACCCACTACAACTTAAATAGGGTACATAGAAAGGCATTTGATCAGCCAAGACTGCTGGTGGCAGAATTAGCAAAGCAGCATGGCACAGGACCTAGTCCCACTGGGACTAATCAGGATCCGTGACTCTGAGAATGGCCTCTACAGACAGAATGCATCATTGTTTTATCTACTTATCTATCATCATTTTTGGTTTGTTTGTTTGTTTTCTTTCAAGACAGAGTTTTGCTATGTAGCTTTGTAGACCAGGCTGGCCTCGAACTCACAGAGATCGATCTGCTTCTGCCTCCCAAGTGCTGGGATCAAAGGTGTGGGCAACCACCACTTGGCTCTATCTTCGATTTTTATGTGTATGTATGTGTTTGCATGAGTTTATGTGCACCATGTGTGTGCAGGTGTCTGTGGTGGCCAGAAAAGGGCTTTAATGGTCAGGTCCCCTGGAACTGTACTTACAAGCACTTGTGAGCCACTAAATGCTGGTGCTGAGGAATGGACCTGAGTCCTTTGTAAGGGTAGTGCTACCTTTTAACCTTTGAACTCTGAAACATCACCTTAACACTGAAAAACTGTACTTTCAACTATCATAAGTCAGAGACTATCTGTATATCTAAAAAGGAACTCTATCCCAGGATTTTAAAGAAGTGGGCTTAAATCTGTTTAAATTAGAGTAAAATATAAGGGTCAGTTACTAGACTTAAAGTAAGAGCATCATTCTTTTGCTGTCTAGATAGCATGGCTGCCTGCTTCTACATGATTTAAAACTTAAAAAGCTATTCTGCTTTACTAATTATTATTCTAATTATTAAAATAATTTGAAGGCTCGTCTCAGCAAAAGAGGGACACATGAAAGGACAAGTATAATTTTTGAGAATAGGAAATACAATGGCCAATTGCATTACAAATTTGAAAAGCAAGAATGCACATATATAGAGGGATTAAAGAATAAGTAGCTCCTACAGCTTGCGTGACATGAAAAGACTGAAAGTCATAACAGACTTTCGGAAGAAAGAGAACATGTGAATGCCCGTGCCATGAGATCTGAGGATAATAGGAGTAGAACCAAGGCTGGCATGTACTATTAAATCACAACTTACAGGAAGAGCTAAATGAGGAAACAGTTTATATTCGACCCAGTTCATCAACAAAATTCTCATGCACTCAGCAAAGCAGGAGGGTGGGAATCGTAAACATGAAACACAACTGAGCAAAACAGCAAAATAAAGTGATCCATCAGAGGCAAACTTGTAAGCCGTCAGCCATCCAACAGCTAAACATGACAGTGGTGAATGCCAATATATAAAATGCAAAGGGGGATATAGGAAACACATTTGGGGAAATTGGGTGAATAATAAAAACTTTGGGAAGACAAACTGCCTGTCTATAATCCGATGCATCTAAATTGACAGTAAAAGAGAGAAAGCTGAACCAGAGTTCGCATGATCACCCTCTGAAACCACTAGCCCAATGTGGTACAAGTGAAATTCATACTCCTATGAAAAAGCCAAGCCCAGAGTGCCTGCAAACTGTTCCTCACCACACAGAAGGAAATCTTTCAAATGTGTTGTCATGAAACGAGAAATACATTGATTAAAAACTATACAAACATATCCCAAACTTCAAAAACTACCAGTCTTGCTGATTTTGACACTAAAATAATCTGCATAAAACATTAGCAAGTAAGATTCAGCAGCAGATTAAGAGAGTAATATCCCAAGGCCATGAGTTTTAAAATCAAGACTACTTTTAGTATTAAAAATACATTAACACCCTTCACCAAAACAGGAGTGAAGTATCATTTGACTTTCTCCACAGCTGTATTTAGTGAAATCCAACATCTCTTCCTAATGTCTAAAGTCCTCTTTTAAAGGGGTAGACCCCAAATAAGATATCTCTGTGTACACAGACAATTAGGGATACATCAGATCTCTATGTATACAGTCCACTAGGGGTACATCAGATCTCTGTGTATTCAGACCACTAGGGGAACATCAGATCTCTGTGTATACAGTCCACTAGGGGTACATCAGAGGCACTTTCACTAAAGATTAAGGAAAACCAGAAAGTTGTTCATTCGTAAATCCCACAAAGACATTTTTAAATGGTTCTGGGCCTCAAGCTAGGGACCTCAAGTGTGCTTGAGTTGTTTTTGTGAATACAGTTTAGGCAAGAACTCTAGCCAGAGCTCTATCTCCAGCTGCCACTGGACCATGTCTAAGACATAAGTATCTTCCCACTGTCACCTGTCAGCACACTTATGAACATCTATGTCATGACTCCAAGGGCCAGAATTACATGTGTGTCTCAGTAGTTCTCATGTGCATATCATGTACTCTCATGAGCCTTTCCATTATGTTTATGCACCAGGATCCATGCTGGTTTCCTAACACTCCGCAATGTTCTTGCCAGAGACAGCAAAGACTCATAATCTGTGCCCCAAGGACAAGCTGTTCTTGTGTGACATGAAGCGCTTGGCACTACCACAATCATCAATTTTACTTTCCTCCCACTGGAAAGTGCGATTGTTTTCTGAACAGTCACATTATGAGACATTGATCAAAGGCATATTACACAAAAGCCACTGTAGCTGGGTTTGCCAATGCCTGTAGCACCCAGGTTCCGCAGCACAAGTTAGCTGTCCTTCTGGGAAGGAGCTGGGTGTCAGTGGTCCCCAACAAGCCAAGCCCAACTGGGTTTTTGCAGAACAGACTCCCCTTTGTGTGATGGAAACCAAGGAAAGGACCCATTTGATTTTCCTAACTGGGGGCAGTTGTTTTTCATCTTAACCAATAATAATTAAGATCAGTATCTATCTAAAACAGCAGGAGAGGTTGCCTGGAGCTACCACTAACCACCTGCAAATTGCATTGTTCTTTGTGCTTAAGTGACTCATAGCAACAGAACGCTGTGGCTGCCAAGCCCACCGCCTCTTCTCGCCCCTGGCTCATTGCTCATTCTGTGATTCTTGGCTCGCCCTTGCCTCTTAGCTACCTCCACCTACAGTCAAAGAAAAGTTCCTACTCCTCTTCTTGCTGTTTCCCAGGCCTCTCACCACTCACCACTTCTCTGCAGAAGCTAGCTAGGCCTGAGTCTGCAGGGGCAATTGGGAGATGCTCTGCCCCATAAAATTTCCTTTCCACTTGATTTTGAGTCCAATTATGGCAGGATGAGTCATCCAGAAGGGGGCGCTTTATCTCAGGACACAGCTGACCTGCTCAAGTGGGGCATAGCTCCACCATAGAGCACCTGTCTAGCATGCAGAAGACCCTGGCTTCCATCCCTTACAAAGCCTTTTTTTAAAGTGTAATTACTAGTCTCCTTCCAGGATGGAAGGAGAGAAGTTTTTTGTAGGTGAAAAATTTGGATTAACGTTCTGCATCTGGAGGATGAAGCACAGGCCATCTATCTGTGTTTGCAGAGAAGCTTCCAGTGCAGAGGTCAAAGGCTCTGTTTCTGGGCAGGTCCATGCTATGAAGTTGAATTCTTTGGGTCCCTGTTCATTTCTTGCAGCTTCTTTTCTTGACTCTGCCAGTTTGTGAGGTACCATGGGCATGATTTAGAGCATCTAACTACACAGCAAGCCTCTGTCTAGAGCGGCACTTCTCAACCTGTGGGTCGTGACCCCATAGGGGTCCCATATTTGATGTTTACATTGTGATTCATAACAGTAGCAAAATTACAGTTATGAAGTAGCAACAAAGTAATTTTATGGTTGGGGGATCACCACAATGTGAGGAACTGTATTAAAGAGTCACAGTCTTAGAAAGGCTGAGAACCACTGATAGACTTCGTGCTTATAACTGGCTTCCATAATGTGCTTCAGTCAAGCAGTGTTATCTTAGGGGTGGGTACAAGGTAATTTAACACACTAAGCTGGAATCCTGGAGGATGAGGCAGGCTGTGGTTCAAGTAAAGCCACACTAGCCCTCACATGA